TTTCTTAAGTTACTTTCCTTAGCCCTAAAAGAGCTCGATGGAAGACAGCCCTGCTGTCTAACATCTCTTCCTGTTTACTAAACTGCTCTTCAGCAACTGGAGTCTGCTTTAAGCGCAGTTAGAAGCGACTAAACCGCAGCACAATAGCAGTACTATACAGAGAACACTCTCACTTTAAACAAATTGTACCTAGAACGGCCTCTGGCCAAAGTCTTACATAGTCACTGACTGCAGATAGACTCTAATGGAATAATAATAATACACTAACTCTCCCCCTCTCTGACATCTAAACCTAGGCTAATCCCCGGGTATTGCGACAATCATAGAGAAATTGCCTACTGGAGAAGGTGCCAGTGCCGCCAGCCGGAAGGGCCTGCTCAAGCCTAAACCTTTCTCAACCCCCACGAAACAACAGTCGTGGGTTGAAGCCGGAGCATCTTAGATGATGACAATCCCTGTAGGATGGTCATCTTCGTTGCTAATCATGCGTAATAGGCCATCGACCCCTGTCTAGCATTCATATGATATACCCGAGCGTACGAGAGCAGAACGTATCCCTCCAGAGCATTCATCAGTCGCGATACGCAACCTCCACGTCCAAAAATTCTACAATATCCAGGTCGCTTCTTGTCCGCGCTCTCTACAGCATTTACACAACCCAGCTACCCCCAAAAGCGAATCCTCTATGATTCTTGAGTAATGATAGTACAGGACATATCATGGACCGACCAAGCCATTTAGCGAAGGGAGTGGACACAACACAGGGCTTCGCTCATGTGCGTGGAACATGGGAAAGACAGCTAGCAGACGCACATTTGCAGGCACACGCATATGTCGACCTATAAAGTTTGTGTGGTGTGATTGTTATGACATATCACCCTTTGCTTGCTTCTTTGAGCATGGCCTCAGAGACACTACAAAATGTTCTGCATTAGTCATTAAACCCAGAGGCGGGTATAACTCTTGGATATGGCATAAATGCTACCGCAATAACATTGGTGAGCGTTTACAACGTGGTCGGCACACAGCAGCATCTGCTGAAACATCACTGACGATTCAAGTTGTGCGTAGATTGTTAGCAATTTTGCGAGAGTGCCATCCTCTGTCTACCGCATGTCGTTCAAGTAACTCTGCTAAGTTGACGTAGCGTCTTCGCTGTTGAGAAGACTAGTTCCGAACCTGTAAGTCACTGATCAGCTGATGGAAATAACATGCCCTCGTCTTCTTCAGCCCTGGACGATCGTAGATTTATATACTAGAAAGACTTGTTCACAAGGCATCACTATATCTTTGAACACTGATCTGAGTTTATGTGTCAGGACATGCGGTCTTCACGTCCCTTTCGCGGTATCGATGCGGCTACGAGTCGCTTTGTGTTTGATATTAAGTTAGACACACCCTCAAGTCAGCAAGATTACGCCACTGAGCTTGCAAATTACTTTAAATCTCTTGAGCGGCAGTTACCAAAATATGCACTTTGAATCGAAACATATGTCGACTTACCACTCTTGCGTTGATGCCGCGGCACATATGTCGAAAGTGTTAACCACGGGAAGGTGCATCAAGCCAAGACATTCTAACTTGGTTAGTCAGAGGCCAAGTTTGCTCCCAGTTACCATGAGCTCTGTTCTTATACACACATTCGCGATATTCAGACGTGCACTTCTCTGCGTATCAAAGTTCTTCATCCTACGCTTTGCACCTCAAGCAACTACACTCTACCCCATACGCCCATCGTGTCCGACCAAACAATGGATAGCCTGAAACTCTTCGAATTCATCCAGGGTGAGGAGGACGATAGCAACATCTTGGATCAGCTCCAGCAACATACCAGAAAGGGCAAAAAGTTGCCATGGGTAAGCAGCTACCATTCTCACTTATAAGACCAAAAACTGATGCAATACCTACAGTTTCAAGACGTGATTCCAGAGTTAATCCCAGGCGTTGAAGATAGCCATACATGGCTGAGCCAAGCGCGGAATTTGCTATGGACAGATACCGAGTATGACGAGCACGAGAAGAAGATCGATCGAAAGAAGAAGTTACTACAGCCAGGTCCTGAACCATTCGCGGTGGATCACTATCGTCTCCGAAAACACTGGCCAATCTATGTCGAAGCCTTGCGACCGATGACAAAGAGAATGTTAGCAGCAGTGAATGAGGTCTACCATGTGGTAGCTAGACAAGATTGTCTGACTGGTAGGTAATACTGCACGTATCTTTTTCTGCAGCCTGAATTTAGCGCACATCTTGACTGACTATATGTAGAGGACCGCAATACAGCTGGACTCACGAGTGAGACGGACGACAAACACCACGCTTTCGTAACCGTCGCAGTGGCCCTGCAAGACCAGGTTGTAAGCCCTATAATTGGAGATATCGAGCGGCAACAGGAAAGTCTCAGTGATGAGATTGGACGCGCGCAAGACACTGATGAAGGAGATCAAGACTCTGTGCAACAACGATTAGACCTTTTCACCGAAGAGAGGCAGGAAAGTCAAAAGCTATTGAAGGCTCTCAAGAAATTCCGAGGTAAGTCTTCTCAGCAAACTCAAACTTCATCCTGCTTATACTTAGCTACTGTAGATATACTTGTTGACGAGAAGGAGACGCAGGACCGGCGCAAGGATTTGAAGAGGAACCCGGTTGTTGGGCAGTCAGAGTCAGAGTCAGACTTAGTCATACCAAGGAAGAGAGCAAAGCAGGCGTTGCCACTGAGATGATGGATTAACGCTGTAACCATCGAGCTGAGGCTCTTCTTACAATGCATAGAATGAACAGTGATTCTGAAGTTGAGCTACTGTGGTACGATCACTGCACCGACCTCAGCAGCCGTGAAATCCCTAGTCGTACAGCTAAGGTGCTGGCCCAATTACCCTTGTCCTGTGGGCGACGGAAAATTTTGCATAGCTGTGAGTGTTTGGTTGCAACGGCGGTGCGGAGGCCCTGAGCGCCGATACGGGCCATCTCAATCCGGTGGCTTCATTTATATGAACACAAAACCGGTCCGCCGTTTGAGACAATGATACCCACAAATCACTTGTCAGTACTCACCACCTATTTTGGAGCTAATTTTCCAAGGAATACAATTCAAATACTGCCAATCACTATCTTGGTGTTCGGTATTCGTAACATTTAGATGTCTATGTTAGGTTACTGACGACCATCAGCTTTGTGTAACACTGCTGTCGGCCTCGCTTTTTCTCCTACTTCTCCTTCATGGCAGGAACGGCATCTGATCCATCCATCTTTTTCTTCACCTTACCCCAGAATGATGTAACATACTTCTCACCAGCCCCCCTCTCTTTATGGATAGCTGCGAGAGCTTCGACGCTCCAATCATGCCACGGCTTGCGTGAAGTTGAGGCCAGGTAATACCTACACAGCATTTCGTAGAGCTTCTCGCTCGTCGTGCATTGTCCTTTATGCGCTTTGGTGTTTCCCCATTGAAAGAGAAGCTCTCCGTCGCCACCAGCATAGCTTACGACCGCAGGTCAACGTTCCGATTTGAAGTCCCGTTAGTCTTCTAGCATAGGAAATTCGGATTGCTTGTGAGCTGTATGGATATTCAATTAACAGCCACCAAGACAAAGATTGTAGCCTCGTACCTGGACCGGATCGTACTCTCCCATACAGTGCATCGCTTTGCACGAAATCCAGGGCTCGTTGACATCCATACCTCCCGTTCTTCAGCAGGCCACGCCCCGAATGACATGTACAGATCGCCTTCATGCGAAGAGCGGGATACGTGACTCCAAGAGAACTTGACTATCGTATATATCAGCATGAGCACCCATCGAACAAGGGCAGAAAAGACGTACAAGGCAGATTGCACCGCGCCACATAGTTGTTGAGTGAGACTGCAATGAGCGCAATAGCCGGTACCACCCTAATCACAGTCGTCCCGCTGTAAGTTCTCTCTCGTAGCGTTTCATGCCCGTCAAAGAGCAACGCAGGAGATTCCACATCTCGAAGTCGTTCAACTAAGTTGTTCCACTGTATATCGTAGCTTGCGTTAAATATATCGACTAAGTTATTTTCTGTTATAAGGCGTAGTTTATCTTCGTGAAATAGAAGACTCTCCTGCTCAGGATTAATATTAGCGTGCCAGTCATACCAGTCTTGGTATGTTGCAGGTTGCTTTGAACTATCCATGGTTGTTTCCTTCGTAGCTGATTAGAAGAGCAGCTTTATATGTGGCAGGATTGGACCGAGAAAGAACAAAGAACCCCTAGAATAGTCCTGTTTGTTGATTAGTAAACCGGCGCCAAAGTACAAGCCGCTTTGACTACTGATTGATGGTCTCATATGTTAAGTAGCAGCTGCGATAGCAGCTGCAGTTATAGTGATAGCCATAGGAGTAGACAGTCTCCGTGGTGGCGGGCAGTGAGAGGCTTCTGGTGAATCAGCGTCGGTGGCCGTAGGCTACAGAAGCAGACTAGTATGTAGATCACGTGATAGTCTTGCACTGAGAGCTAATTGGATTAGAGCTTGATTCAAACCTTTTGCACGATGGATAGAACACTCGATCCAACTCCACCATGATCTGCAGCTAAAGCTGCAATAAATGTCTAAATTACCTGTATAACTTCACGAATACGTAGAATGCCACAATCTACAGTATCTCGATTCTGTGAATATGTTCATATCCAGAGAGCATTGCAGAAAAAAAGTTGATTGAAGATGCTGGCCCGCGTACAGCATGGAAAATCTAAAGATGCATTTTTCAAAAGATGCAAAAAAATACCAAAACATGACCGAACAGGGAATCGAACCCTGGACCTTCAGTGTGTAAGACTGACGTGATAAGCCTCTACACTATTCGGCCAATCAAATGAACTATATAATATGGGTGTATTAATGATCTTATCTACTGAAAATAAGATAACATCATGTGAATGGTGAAGCAGCTGCTAAGGAAACCCTTTCTCACATAATTCATTCCTCACGACCAATGTGCTACGTAACACAAGGCAACCTGCACATGTGTCTCTTGCCGCTAACCTCTATTTGTTGCTCTTTCTTAAGCTCAGGCTGTCATCCGTCAGAACCCAATTCGGTCTGCTTGCGCATCTTTTCGTAAACGCAGACGCACATTGCATCCTTTACCCCTAGGTGTCTCTGATATGTTTGTGTATCCATCATCCTCATGAGCCTTGTCGCAATCCTTGTGGCAGCGTGACTCGTCGCCGGGCTCGCTCCCATTCTCACAAGTTTCTCGTACGCACTCTTCACCTTCAGCCTCACACCTCTCGCAAACACCAGCTCGGTTGTCGCACTCTTTTTGTCTAGCGTAGCACCGATTACAAGGTACGTGGCGCTTGAATGCCTCGAAGTTACGTATCGCATCTACAAGGTCTGTCGTATTTGCGATGGCATGAAATGTGCATACATGCTTAGTGCCGTAGCATTCGTGGCACTTAGGAGTCATTTTGCGGCTATAAGCAATCTCAGGTTTGTAAAAACGACAGCTATTCTCGTCTTTGCAATGGTCACATCGCAAACTGTACTTTGTCTGGAAGCCAGACAGTGCCAGGATGTCTGTCAAGGACATGCCGTGGGCGTCATCGCTGAGGATGCGTTTATGGGCAAGTTCCTTTGCTCTATTCTCCTTATGGCCATTGTTTTTCATGAAATCGTTCTTCTTCTGATGATATATAGATTCGATACCATTGCCATTGACTGGCTCTGAGTTTGGTGGAAGAGTTGTCAGCACTCGATGCATCATACTATACATGTCAGTGTTCAGGTCAGACAACTCTTTTTGTGCAGCTTCAAAGCTGGTATTACAATCACTTACGCGGTAGTTCTAGAAGCGAAAGTACCACTGCCTTGGAGTTTCTGTCTGGGGCTGCCGTGGTTCCATTGCCGTTGAAGAAGTCCCTTTGAGCCATAAATTGGGGTAACGTACGGTGAATCCTGAGTAGACAAAAGACTATCAAGATAGCCATACACTGAACCGTCAAGAAAATCATAGATGTGATGAAGTGGCTCCGAACTTTTGGTCAGGAAGGGCAATTGTACAAGCGAACTTCCAGGTTGGCCTGCTCCCTGGCCTTCTTCGAGAGTATGAACGGTTGGTGTCCAATCCCTGGGTACGGTCTCATCGTCGCATACCCTGCAACTTTGATAATGAATCGGCCAACTAGTATTTTCTGAAGGTAGGAGAATGAGTTTGTCGATACATGGCTTTCGATCTGTAGAAGGAGAACTGATGGTGGCAGCAACATAGATGAAGGGTTGTCCCATGCACAATGGTATCTTAATGTTCCTAATGCGTGCCGGCTCGAATAGTTTTGAAGGTGGAACACGTGGCGGCCAGCTATGAGAGATGAATCTCAGCACGACCGCGTTGGGAGATCCGGATTGCATGTCATCTACAAGAGAGACAGGTAGCGTTCTGCTCGCTCTGTATCCAGCTATGTTTTGCTCCGTCCAATCATGTTGAACGATTACTGCATCTCCACAAGTATTGCCTTCGAGGCTAATACAAGCATTTTTCCCAGCTTGTAACATTGATCATTGATAGCATCGCAGAATTCTACACAGAACTGCTCTTTTGGGGCTGAGATAGCCCGTACACTCACACACCAACTTTTAAGCAGAAATCTTTCATCAAAACTCGTCAATTTTCTATCAGATATAGGGGTAACACGTCGCGAGAAACCGATTTACGCCACCTCTAATGTGTGCAACCCTCTCGTTGAGGTGCTAGAGGGGG